TGACTTCTGGGCTCTGGCCACCACTCTCTGACCACCCCAGGAGATGAAGGGCTCAAGTGCTGCAGTACATGGGTGACTTGGCCAGAAGCCATGGAGGTGGCCGGTAGACAGCTCTGCGGAGTTATGAGTAGAATCCTGCCTTTATTTGGGAACCAGGATGAGAAACGTGAGCAAGAGGAAGAGTGGCTCAAATTCCTTTTTGAACATGGGAACTGTGGGGTTTAGCCTGATGTTTTGGTGCCAAGGAAAGAAAGCTCCCGTGAGCCTGCGGCCTCCGGGTCCCTGCACACACTCAACAGATGTCTCGCATCAGAAGCAGAGTGCCGATGGCATGAGGCGCGTCTGATCAGCGTTCATTAAACATGGACATATAAGGGGAGCCAGATCCCCAGCAGCCCGGCCTTTCCACGGAGCCATAGACGCTTTGCGATGATTTACACCCGTGTCCAGACACTGCAGTGTGACTAGCGAGTTCTCTTTTAAAAGGTAGGGAGAGGCCAGTGCTTTATTCTTTCTGCTTTTTGAAACAATCTCTTTTTGGCTGGCATCAGATTCTACAGGCATCTGGTTGTTGCTCTGTTCTGCAAACAATATAAAAATTAGGTTTCTTAAATCTTCTTTTTCCCTATTATCACTATTACGACTGTGACTTGGATTTCAAATTTTGGCATAGCTAAATTTGAAAAGTTTATCTCTGTAAAACAAAGCTGTTAAGTTGTGAGGGAACAGGAAACTTGATCCTCCAGGATAACAAGCCAAAAGACATTTTTTCTTCACAAGGATAAAAATGTTTGCCAAAACAACAAAGAAATCTCGGAAACCCGTAAGGGCTTAGGTGCCAACTGTGCATCTGACTCAAGAACACCCGTTCACACACATGCGGTTCTGCCCTGAAGGAGGAAACGCAGGGAGACAGCACTGAGGCAGGACGGCAGGTGAGGGAGGGCATCAGAGGAGCAGAGTTCATAGGCAATGGCAAAAGCTTGGCACAGGCACCTGGGACGCAGCTGCAACTGTACCCCCTCCTTGGGAGAGCCCTTGTCTTCCCAGTGTGCACTATCTTAGTCACTTTTCCAGCACTGGGACAAATACTCAATACCTACAACTTAGGGGAGGCGAGGTTTGTTTGAGCTCATGGTTTTTAGAGGATTCAGTCCATAATCAGCTGGCTCCAAGGCAGGAAGGACATGTGGAAGGGCCTGGGCAGGGAAGGCACCTCACCTCATGGTGGACATGAAGTAGAGGACAAAGGGAGCAGCAGAAAAGGAGAGATCAAGACAGGAGGAAGGGAGATAGACCATTCCAGGCCATACCCCAGTGACCTGCTTCCTTTGACCAGATGCCATGCCCAGTATCATATTTATCTATAACCTCATCAGTGAACTAATCCACTGATGAGTATCATGTTCCCATGATCCATCACCTCCCCAAATCCCCACCTATGAGTTCATGAGGCTCCTGGAGGATATCTAGACGAAAACCATAACAGCACCCTTCATGCAAACCCCAGGAGCCCAGGAAGATGGGCAGGAGAGGCCCAGTCCTGAGTTCAGACCCTGCATCAGGGCCTCTCCGCAGAACCCCTGCCACAGGCTGACAGTCACTCCGTCAGGGCAAATGCAGGAAAATAAGCCATGTCCTCAGACTCTCCTCTCCTGTGCAGGGGGACAGCCCTGACCACACAGCAGAGAGCCATTTAGCTGAAAAGTGGAAAACCCCACTCACCTGTGTGAATGGTGAGTCGCAACTAGGACACTGAGTTTTAGGGGGCCACGGGATTGAAGGAGCTCCTACTTTCACACTGAGGCCAGAGGCTGGGGCTGAAGCTGCTGGTTCCTCAGGGTCAGATGTGACCTGTCTGGGCTGCGATGTCACCCAGAGCTTTTCGCCCACCACACTCTAAGCAGCCTCACCTCAGCCAAGCAAGTTCGCTGCTCATGACTCAGGGATTAGATTAAATTTTCTTACTGTCATTCCAGACAGATTGACCGATGAATGCTATGAGAACATCATGATTTCTTCAGCCCATTCATATACAAGTTTCTATGGTGCTCTCAGACCAAAGAGGGTGGCACAAAGGAACTGACTCTGTCAGCAGTCTCCCATTTCCTTCCTATAAATTTTTCTTTACCAATGAATCAAAATTCCATTTAACACTATTAAATAACATCACAAGCATATGCCTGAATTTGATGTTAAGTATCATTCAGTACTCATGAAAGAAACATTGTCCAGTCTTCCAGGGCAAATCAGACCTTCTGGGCACATGGTAACGTTTGGTTGTTCCTTGCTGGGAATCCCAGCCAGAAAGAGTCTTCCTGACGTGGCTCCGATGGGTCGGCCCTTCTGAATAATGTCTCCAGGTAACCACTGCAGCACTGGTCAAGCAGCTCTCTACATAAGCACAGGGCCTTCAAATTCACCTAAGTGGTTTTGGCTAGAAAAGAATTAAGAATTTTTCCAACTGAGAAAGTTCTCTAAAGACTTGTCTAAATTTTTCACTTTCATTTTAACAAAGGCATTGATTCAGTCATTCAAAAATACTTGTGTCCACCATATTTTCATCCTTCAGCTGAATGGAGGAGTCTATTGAAAGCAACACAGACCTATTCTTGTTTCTCTAATGCTTATAATCTAGAAAGAAGAGCTAGTGGCCCCTTCTGATTGTGGGCTTCATCACACACCACTCAGCATGCCCAAGCCCATGACACTCATCTGCCACACAGGCCATGTCCACCGTGGGGCATGAGGAGCCTCAGGAGGGACAAGCAGGGAGACTCACTGTCAGGCCATAGCAGCTCACTCTGCTTGGAGACTATGGGGCCAAGAGAGGCCTCTACTTCTCACATGCAGATGCCGAGACACAGCTGCCTGCCCAGCCACATGCAGATCAACTTTCATCAGCCTGTTGTTGCAGACCCAGAAAGGATTACTCTGGAAGACATTGGATGGCTTCACTTTTATGTGAAAAAAAGAGAAGAATCATTTTCTTCTTTCTCCTCTGCTCTCTTCAAAGTATTTTCTCATAAGCCAACAGGGAAGTAATTAAATGTTAAACAAATGCACTTAGAAACAAATGAGAAACCAATGAAACAGCTCAGCAGGATACAGGTAAGCAATCCGGAGGGTGCTGCCCCACACTAGGGTCACTTGGACAGTGGAAGGAGGTCCCAGAGGCTGAGGTAGTAGGTGGCCCACCCACCCAGGCCCTGGGCTGCCAGCATCTCCATGTGTTTTCAACTGGGGAACAGCAGAACCTCACCCCATCTAGGTCGTAAACAGAGATGCCTTCCCTGCTGCCAAGCCCTGAACATCCCTCCAGGAACAGCAGCAGGGAAGAAGTGAGGAACAGGAACACGCTTGTCTTGCTGGCTTTCTTGATCTTTATACTTGTTTGGATTCACTTCCTGCATGGATGGTGTGCGTCTCTGAGCTGCACCGAATGCTACCGTTCTGTAACAACTCCCCCAGGAGTAACAGATGACACAAAGCCAAACACAGACCTTAGTGTGGACTGCCCGCCCCACCTTTCCTTTCTCCCGTCTGAACTGAATTCCAGATGTTTACAGGCACAAAGTCTGTGTTGTGCTCTCCTCAGAGGCAGCACAGCCACTGTGTGGAGATGTACACCGCAGCCAGGGCCCCTGAAAATCAGGCAACACAGCGGGGCCATCCATAGCACCATCTCCTATGAACATTGGGCTCACTTCACATTGGAAGATATAGTAGCCAATACAAGTGTCCACACTTTCCACGTCCAGTCGTCCCTGAGACATCTCCCCCAAAAACCCTCTCAGAGCTTTTTGTAGAATTTTCTGATGCTGAGTCCTTGACTGCAGGATTTGATTCCAGTTCGGCAAAGGCTCTGTGCCTGGACCTGTGCCTGTAATGGGGTCATCCTGGCCACCCAAGGGCTGAGTGGCCCTTGTGGTTCACACCTTGCCCAGCTGCCTGGCTTCACGCTTCACTCCAGCTTCCATTCTCTAACTTGCATGAGATACACATCTAATCAGAGAGGTGGAACCAGCTTGAATGCTCACAAGAGCCCGTGCATTCAGGGAAGCAGTCACACTGGAAGAGGGGTGCCATGACATAAGACGTGCAGTCCCTACATTATTCATCCTCTATTGCTTAAGTGGAGATGTTAAGTCACATCTTAAAATCTCTCTGGAGAGCTGATATCAATACGTCGAGGTGCATGTAGCTGTTTGATTCTCAAGACTAGCATTGGGTGTTTCTAATTCACTTGAAGGAAACTTTTCCTTCCTCTCATCTTTGTGGGGTGGGTGACGTTGGTGCTGAGAGCCGACCACCTTCCATAACCACCAGCTCTCTGGAATAACACGGGGGAAATAAAACAATGCCTTGACCTGGGGCTGCTGAATGCCATTGTGTTTCCACCAGATTCAATTTGCTTTATCAGATTTACAGAATCATATCAAGAGAATTATTAGTGAGAGTAATTAACATACTTTCCATTTTACCATTTTGAAATTTTTCTGAAATAGTTGAAAGAGATGGGTTAGCCTCCAGAGGAGGGAAATCTTGCACATCACAGACCTATGCTCTTCAATTAAATGGTCAGTCTCCTCCAACATGGTTTTCCAATCAGGCCCAAGTCAGCCTGCCAAGGGAAAATACTGATCTCTGGATAAGCAAGAAATGCTCAGTAGAAACCCTCAGGCAAAATAGATGAATTCTTTTGTTGTTTAAAAGTGTATAAAAGATTCAGGAGTCACTTCTTGGTGAGGGAAGAGAACAGCAGGAAAGGGAGAGGAAAAGAGTGCCAGAGAAGACAGGGCTATGACTCTGTCTGTCCTGGGTGTATGGGAAGTGTAGGAACAGACTTCCCAGGGACTTTGTCTCCAAAGCATAAATACAGATCATGCATTTCTTTTCCACTGGAGTGTATATTTTTCACATTGTTGTGGAATTTAAGAGATCAGAGGGATCAATGGGTAAAACAGGAGGATTTATTTAGATGTGCACTGGCTCAGCAAACTCATGTCCAACGACTGAGCCCAGAGCAAAGGAAGGGCTCTAGTTTTATACATGTTGCAAAGGGGGATTGCTCTACCTAACAGTATAAATCTTGGGGACAGAGGCGGAATCAAGGCAGTTAAACTGTGACAGTTTGTAACTTATCTTGGTGGCCTTGGTTAGGTAAAAATGGGATATTATGAAAAGAAGAGGTTGTGAGACCTTACTTACAGGGATAAAGTTACTGATTTTATTTGTAATAGAACAAAGAACAACAGCTGTAGGGAGGGGAAAGTCTAAGGGGAAATTGCTTAGGTTGGGGAAAGTTGTTTTTCCTTCTTTTTAAAGTCCACATTCAATATTACTGGTATTATTCTACAAAATATAAAGAGAAAGTCTGTCATACCATGTTCTCTAAGCATATCTTAGTGAAGCTTAGCCATCCACATGGCACAATATATAGCTATTTATACTATTAGAAAAAATATTCAGGAGGGGAAAAATCACAACAGTAAACAGAAAAAGAATTGGACACAAAAATGCCTAAAACAACAACTCATGGTCAAAAAAGAGCAGAATTTAATGTGAATTAAAGTTTCATTTAACAGAGGCATAAATTAGCAAAGGTTACTATGGGAACAGCAGCAGTTTAAGAGTATCAAAGGGTGACGAGTTAAATCAGACACACCCGGGCTGATGAATTTATTTGATCAATTTTTTTACAGTGCTGGAGATCAAACCCAGGGTTGTCTACCACTGATTTAGATTACTTTAAATAAGTTATACTGTTTTAATGATGTCTGCTGATTTCTGAGCATGATAAAGATTTAGCTACTCCACCCCACTAATGCTACATGCAACTATTTCTCTAATTTTTGTTTCTCCATTGTTCCATTGCAAAGTTTAAATGCATGCACCTTACTCACATTTATTTTAGACAATGCCACTTGTCCTTCCAGTCTATAAGCAGCTCTCTTTGCTTCTCCCCTTCTGCATCTGAGATATTATGTTTTTATTTTCGAGGTTGATAACACATATTCCGTTCAAACTGCAAGTAAGTTCATCCTGCCCAGGCCATAGTTGATCTACAGTGATTTAGCGGTGACTTTTAAACATGTAACAGAAAAATCAGAGTGGCTTTAACTACACATAGTACACACGTGTGTGTCACTGTTCTCACACATGGGGTCAGGAGGTGAGAGGCTGCCTGGTTTTCCCTGTGGTCCTGAGGGACACCCAATCACAGGCTGTGGCCTCTGCCTCAGGGCTCATGCCTCACCAGTGTCTGCATGTGCTGTGGCCAGTGACTATAGCACAGTGCCAGTTCTTCAGGGCTGTGTGGCCTGTCCCCGTGCTGTGGGCTGCAGTCCTAGCTTTGAGCTAAGTGGCCTGGAAGAACCACACCTGGTCCTTGCTGGAAGCACAGCTCTTGGTCCAGAAGCCTGGACTTTGAGCATGGGGCAGCATGTAGTGAGGGTTGTTTGGGGTAATGAGGCATGTGAGCAGATGGGGTTGGAGGTCAGGGTCCCTGTGCCAGAGACGGCTATTAGCCTACTCTCGCCTTGTCATTAGAATGGTCAGAGGAAGGTTTCATGATAGCATCGTTCCAAAGCTGTGGAGGGACTGTAGGGAAGACACAGGGCTATGGCAAAGCCTAGAGGCCTCTCCTACTTCAAGCCCCAAAAGTATGAGCAAGAGGACAGTGGAAAGGACATGTTCACAGCAGATGACATTCAGCTCACAGCATCCCAGGAGGGAGCTGTCTTCCCTCTTTTCCTCTGATGCTTCACTTGCTGCCCCAGCTGGGCTCCCTGGAGCTGGGAGTAAGGAGCCAAGTTGGTCGTTGAGTTTTCTGGTACATACTACCAATCTCAACCCCCATATTCATTACTTTAACCTAGCATGAACCCACTCAATCAACTGCTCTGGCCAAGGCCTGTGTCTTAGTCACTTTCTCCTTGCTGAGACACAATACCCAACACCCAGAACTTAAAGGACGAGATTATTCTGGTTCACTTGGTAGAGGTTTCAGTCCATAGTTGGCTGGCTCTAAGGCTGGGCAGCCTGGCAGAGGGGCCTGGCAGAGGAGAAACAGCTTATGGCATGGCAGCTGGAAGCAGAGAGGTCAAGGGAGGAAGATGACCCTTCCAGGCCACACACCCAGCGACCCGCCTCTTCTGACCAGGCCCTGCCTCCTAACAGCAAGTCAGTTATACACCCCATAATCTAGCTGTCTCCCAAAGGTTCTGCCCATGATCCAAAGAGGAGCCCTGGTCTGGAGCTAACCCTGTGTCACAGGAACCCAGCCCCAGACCAGAAACCAGAGCCATCAGGAAGAGGCCTGACCTCACTTGGCCTGAAACAACTCTTTTAATTGGGCTCTGCCAATTATTACACTTGGAAAAAATACGTAGAGATTTCCCTGCTTAAGAAAGTTGAAAATCATTGATGTGTTCTCAGATCTCAGAAACACTGCTTAAGATCAAGCAGCAGAATCAAATCCAGACTCGGAGCTCCTGAGAGTGTTCCCCACTGCTGCTTGGCTTGTGGTTTCCTGTGTGCTCAACATGACGACCTTGAATATGGGCCCGAATCACCTGGGATCTCACTGGAAACTAGTCCAGGGTCCCTCATCGTGTGGGATGGGCGGGCTGCAACTGGTTTCCTAGCAAGCTACCCAAAGGAGCTGGGGACCCAGCAGGCCCAGCACAGCACCAGTACCTGGGACACCACCATGGGAGCGGCTCTTGGGCACTCAGGGCTGAAGAAGTCAGGGTGCGTAAGTTGGCTCTAGTTCATTCAAATCTGATTTCTCCGATCTGACAGGTATGTCAACATTTTGAGGGAGAAAAACAATGCATATACAAGGATAAGAAATACCTATAAAATGCGGAGTGATCTCTCCTTGACCCGCCAAAAAGTTTTCCTGGAAAGTAACCACGATGGGAATGGTGATGAACATGCACCTTTCTTGGGTAACATAAAGGGCTTCAGTGCACTTTTACCTGTCTTCTCAAAGCTTCAGCCCAAGGTCGGCCAGAGGCTGCTCAGCATTAACAAGGCTTGGAAAAGCAGAATTCTCCGGCAGTAAATGCAATATCACTGTTCCTGGGTTGTCATAAAATCTTAAAAACTAATATTAAAATAACTGTTGTAAAATATTATGACAAATATTGTAAAATAGACAGAAATAACCAGATTATTCTAAGACATCCAAAAAATAATTTCTACATTATGCCATAAAGAAATTTAGGTCTAGGGGCTGGGGATTTAACTCAGTGGTTCTGCCATCTGCCTCGAAAGTGCAAGCTCCCAAGTTCGATCCCTGCTAACAAAAAAAAAGAAAAGAAATTTAGGTTTATTAAAAAAAGAATAGTGATTTTTCTTATGAAGTGTTTATTTGCTTTACTAATGAATTACTCACAGGCTCTTTGAGAAACAGACCTCTTTACCACATGTATGTTTCATTCTGACTTAAATTTCACCTAAGTTCTCAGGGACATACATTAAGTAATCAAAAGCACAGTCTGAGAGCTAGCTCAGCAGAATCACTGTGCCCGTCATTCAGATGAAATTTCTGCAGATGCCAAGTGTTTTGAAGCATTGAGGCTTTGATTTTACATTCCATTCTGCACCCTATTGCTCTTGCACTTTGTAGACATTGACACATTACATAGCAGTTTCTCGACATGGAATGCATTTTAAAAGATGGAGGAAGTTACAATTACCAAACGCCTACATACGGGACTATTCTGTCACAAATCTCCTAATCACGAGAGTTGAAATGAAAGTCAAAACTGCGAAGAGCTTTCACTTCTTGTACATGCAAGTCAAATCAGATAATAGCTGGGCCCAGTGAAAGCTACAACTTTTAAAAAGGATTTAATAAAATAGTAGATATGAATGTTCTTTATAAATGCGGCAACAGCTGTTCTTTTCTCCTGCTGTTTACGACTTGGTTGTTTTTAAACAAATGCACCTCTGGTTTTCCTTTCTGAACTCTAGTTTTAGGGGGCTTGTTCTTTTACAGCAATATTTGTTCTTTGCTGCCTGTCTTGGGACCTGTCACACTGAAATGGCAATGACACCATTGTCCAGAGCATTAAAATTGCCTCCCTCTCCCTGCGTAATGGCAGACTTACAGTCCACAGTGTGGCAGCTCTTAGTGGTATAGCAAGATCAGGCCAAGAAGAATTGAGAACATACCTGGAGGTTGGAGCCAAGTGTACAGCTTTATTACACTGGAGGACTGATTGAGGTTTCTCCACAAAGCGATCAGCCCGGAGCTGGTGGTGAACAAGGTTTATATGGGTTAAGGGAAGGGGATACTATTTTATTAAATCCTTTTTTAAAGACTCTGTACATGAAAAAGAAGTGATTAGTAAACCCATTCTACATATGGGAAAATAAAAGCCAAGATCTTGAAGGAAGGTCTCAGGCCACCCCCTTGGCTGCCTGGCTGTCTACTCCACCTTGGGTTTCCTCTCACTGGGAGGCTGATTCACTTCACTTTAGGCACTTTGGAATTATGCAAGGGACATACTAGAGAAAGCACTTTTATTTTGTTTTATTGTTTTGGTACCTGGGATTGAACTTCGGACCTTGAGCTTGCAAGGGAGGCATGGTACAGGAAGGCATTTTATTTAAAAAAAAATAAATTTAGCTTGTGGTAGAGAGGTAGCTGGACTACAGACATAAAAATGTCTAAAGAATCTATGAGGCAATACTCAAACATTTATTAACAACACCTGACAAATGGTAGAGCAAAATCAGATGTCAAGAGTCACATCACGGTTAACACCAAAGAGAACCGGTGGCATTCTCAGGCCAACAGGCCCCCATGTGGCTCCCTACAGCAAGGAGACAGGCTGAGTGGACATGAGGGTCCTTCTCATGGCCCAAAACTCTGTAAGTTTCCCAATGCTGCACCAGGCTGGGTACCCATCCACCTCTGCACAGTGCGGACACACCAGGCCTCCTCAGCACAGGTTGCCTCTGAGATGTGCTTCCTTCCACTCAGAAAGTAGCAAAAATGCCCTGACTGAAATACTGCTGTCTTCAGTACACAGACGAGGCGGAGTGAAGGTGTTCTACATTATTATGGTTTTCATTTTAATTATTTTATTAATTCTCTATTTCTTTTTCTATTAAGCTGGTTTCATCTTAAATAACCCCAGCAATAGGAGTGACCTTTGCACTTCCTGAGATCCCAACCTCCCCAGAACTGTGCTTAGCCTGTGATGGGCCACAGTCAATATTTGCTGACTGAGTGAATGAATTACTGGATGGGGGTTGTAAACAGCTCCCAGTTCAAGCATGTATTTTCCCACTCTGTACTTTTAAATGCAGGTAGAGAAACGTACATTGCTGAGAATGTCATTCTGAGGATAAAACAATTTTTTAAAGGGTTGATTTTCTTGAGAAGCCAAGTCTTTCTCTAACCTATGTCCACGTCCTACTTCTGGGTTATCTCCTTTTTTCACTTGTATTACTGAAAAGCGATTTTTGCCATTCTCGAGTTTTAACTTAGATGTCATATCTTAAAGACAGTCATTTCAGGCTCCTTATCAAATGTAGATTCCCACTGAGCACAGTGTGGCACACCTGCAATCCCAGCTACCCAGGAGGCTGAGGCAAGAGGATGACAATTTCAAGGGCAGTTTGGTCAATTTAGAGATGGTCTATCTCATAATAAAAAGGGTTGGGGATATAGCTCAGTGGTAGAGCACCCCTGGGTTCCAACCACAAATGTACACACACAAACACACTATAGGTTCTGCTTTAGGTCATTTGTGTCTTAGCATATTTTTCCTTCTGCATTATTTCACCTTCCATCTTGGAACTACTTATAACTTTCTTTCATTTTATTTAGCTAGCTTGTTGCCGGCGTCTGCTCTCTGAAGCAAGAATTCTGTAAGCGTGGGGCCAGGGATTTAGCTCATTGGTACTGCTGCCTGCCTGGCAAGTGCAAAGTCCTGAGTTTGATCCCCGGTACAAAAAAAAAGAAAAGAAAAGAATTCTGTAAGTGCAGACTGTTATATCTGGAGGACTGAAATAGCACTTGTCTCTCTGTTGAGTCACAGAAGGAAGGAGTGATTGGGTGGATGGGTGATGGAAGGAGGGATGGACGGATAGACGAATAGTTGAATAAAAGGTGGAGGATGAAAAGACGGATGGATGGATGGATGGACAGATGGGTCGATGAGAGGATGGGTGAACTGTTGGAAAGTTTTCTTATGACCTACCAGTAGCCTCAAATCCCTTTGTCTTTTCCCTGTAACCACCCCCAGGAAACATGAATATGATAATGTAAATAGCCTTCTTAAATCACCAATCGTTTATCATAGACTTCAGGAGGAAGTTCAAGAACATAGAATAGGATTTAGAATGGTGTTTTCTCTTTTATTTTCTCTTTACACTCTGCTCTAGAAGGGACTCTGGAAATTGAAATTTTCCAAATGTACTATAAACTTTTGTACTGGGGAATGTTTCCACATGCTCTTGTTTGGATCTTCAGTCACTGGTCTGGATCTCTGATCTCTGGTCTGAATCCTTAGTCACTGGTCTGGATCTCAGTCACTGATCTGGATCCTCAATCACTGGTCTGTTCCTCAGTCTCTGGTCTGTTTGTTTTTTGTTTTTGGTACCGAGGCTCGAACTCAGGTCCTTGAGCTTTCGAGGCAGGCAGTGGAACCACTGAGCTAAATCCCCGGCCCTCAGTCTCTGGTCTGGATCCCTAGTCACTGGTATGGATCCTCAGTCACTAGTCTGTTCCTCAGTCGCTGGTCTGGATCTTCAGTCACTGACTGGTCTGGATCCTCAGTTACTTGTCTGGATCCTCAGTCACTGGTCTTTTTTCTCAGTTACTTGCTTGCACCTTCAGCTCTGGTCTGGATTCCTAGTCCTGGTAGAGCCCTAACTCCCATGTCTGAGCCCTCAATCACAGTGCTGATTGCTGGCCAGTCTAATAAAAAGTTACAAATTCAGGATATTTCTGTCTACTTTCTAAGTATAGATTTCTATGCAGCTTTGAACAAGTCAAAGATTTTCATTCCCAGATGTTCCACAGGATTTGGAATGTGCTTTCTTTCATGGCTTTCTGTGAGAAATGAAATACAAAGGGAATTACAACCTTAAGACTGTTCACACTAGGGAAGGCTCACTGATTATTGATCAGCTGGTTTTTACAATCTTTTAACACACCTTAATGGTCACACATCCTCTGAGGTGTTATTTCCTCTTGTCACTGCCTGCTGGATGTTAAGAAATCAGCTCCCCGAGGGAGATGGTTTCCACTATTCTGGACTGCATTCTGGGGAGAACATAGCTTTCAGGAAGTTCCATCTCCGATTGTCCCCTCTTGGGCCTCCCTTGGAAGTTTGCCTCTGATGCTCCTATGCCAGTGCAAGCAATGCCTACCCATTGTTCAGGGTTTTCCACAGTCAGTGTCCCCTCATGTCTTCCAAGGTTGCTGAGGTAGGACATCGTCATGTGTGGTTAACGATGCAATGTATCTTCACTTTATGATCCTCTGGCTTCAGAAGAGATGGTTCATTTTACACGTTCTTTATATTTCTACAACACTGGCTTTCGCAGTGCTAGTGTCTGTGAGGGTTAATTTTCATTGTCAATTACCACCTTGAGGAATCCTAGAAAATTGGTACCAAAAAGTAGAGTTGTTGCTGTGACTATACCTGATGATGGGGGCATGGGGTGTCTTTGGAAACTGACTTACAGGAAGAATCTAGGAAAGTATGGAGAAACAGGCTAGAAAAAGCCGAGGATGTTGTAGATGGAGCTTAACAGGCCATTCCTGGGGGCTCAGAAGTCCAGAATGTTGGTGGGAAAGTGGACAGGAAAGATTATGCTGATGAGACTTCAGATGGAAATCAAGGCTGGGCTGGAAATAGGGCTAGAGACCACCCTTAGGATACCGTGGCCAAGAACTTGGGTGCATTGCATCTGTGCCCTGAGACGTTGCAGGTAATCAATCTTAAAGGTGATAGACTAAAATATCTGTCAGATTTTTTTGACTGGAAATTATAAGGCAGCACAGAATTCAGGCAGTGGCGTACATATGACTGGATGGTTTAACAAAACTGACAGTGACAATCAGGAGCAAAGAGGGGCAGAGGAGAAAGATGAAAAATTCCAGCCAGCTGAGAACAGGAGAACATTGAAAGGTGCAGCCAAGGAAGGTCTTGTTGTTGGCACCAAGAAAAAGAAGACAGGGGCTTTCTACTGAGACAATGGGAACCATGACCCACGTGTGTCTCAGGAATCAACAAGCCACAGCCATCAGAGGCTTGGAGATGTAGACATGCAAATTTGATTCCAAGGCTTTCCAGGGCAAATCTTTTGAGGAGAGAAGCCCTGGGGAACTTCCTGGCTGCAGTGCCTAGTGATTTGTTTCCTCGTGTCTGAGCAGTCTGGGCAGCAAATCATTCAGAGGCCACGACAGTCATGTTTACAGCTTGGACGTCAAGGTGGGGAGTCCTCATCCTCCTCAGTCATCAGATCTGGCACCATGTGCCTTCTGGCTGTTCCCCTAATCCAAAATGATCATGATAGGGAAATGTTTTGAATCCATTCAGGACATCAAGGCAGCCAGGACAGCTCAACTAAAGACACTCAGGAAAGAGGACTTCAGAGCTCCTGCAGAAAGTGGCAAGGATAATGGGATGAGTGTGTTCGAAGTAAGGGGGACAATTTTGAGAGGGATTCGTAGCAATGTGTCTTTTACTGTAAATTTTATTTTACTTAAACATTCACAGTATCTTTTGATCACACCTGGTATGTACTAAGAAGTTGGTCCTGTGAGAAGTCTTGTCTTCCTAAAAGCTTTGTAGAGTTTCTAGTACATTTCTAGCACACTAACAGCATATTGGGAGTAAAAACAACAGAACTGGTAAAAGTTACACATTAAGCAATATTTCATTGTAGCACATGTTATCTTGTATGAAAGGTGATTGTTTTTCTTTCCAATAAGAGCTGTTAGATTGTTAAATGATTAACATAATGGTTGAACAAATGCAATAATTCATTTTAAAATATGTTGATTTATATACAGAGTGCCAAAAAATATATATACACACTTCAGGAAAAGAAAAACTTGTATAAATATTTTAATAGTAAATTTATTGAAATATCATGAGATTAATACAAGTTACCTTTGGCCTCTACAATTACAAGAGGTGCTCAAAGTGGTAGCCATGAGCTTCAAGACTTTTATTAGTATGGCAAATTGCTGCTTGGGTGACCTCGGTCATTGAGATAGCTGTACGTGCATTTTCAGTTTCTTCTCTAAGGGCTGCAGTGCAGTGGGTTTTCTGTGATATATGACATCCTCTAGTATCCCCCATAAGAGGGTAACACTATCTGTTGAAGAAGCAGCATATGATTTTTCTTTTCCTGAAACATGTATATATTTTTTTGGTGTACTCTTCTATATGTTGTAGAAGTTTTTTTCTGTATGTTGTAGAAGGCAGTTAATATTCATCTAAAAATAAACATATACCTTTTAGGGACAAGACAATAAGGGTTGCAGTTGAAATGCAGGAACTGTGTTTATACTGTTAATAACTGGAAAAAATAACCTTCCCATCTCATTACATGGGTATTCAGTAAATTAAATACACTTCTTCCTGCCTGATGTTTTTTCTTTCTATGGTCCAACATAATTTTCTCAAAAAGGAAAACAGCTAAAATCTAGCAAAGGAAATAATTTTTGACTAGGAATTCTAGAATACAGTTTGATGCTCATTTTCTCTCTTACCTTTTTGGCCTTTTGGACCCTTGACAGTAGACAGTTGTTCACTTACTAGGAGGAAATTACATTATTTAATATGATTATAGCAGCTCTTTTTCCTGAAATTAAATGACAAAGCTCATGGGGAGGCGTCAAGTGAATTATCTTCAGCTTTTTTTTTTGCAGGGAACATTGCATTTTGTTGTTTTCAGGCTTTTTCAGTAACAACCATAGAATTATATGGTTTTCTAGTAGAACACTGCCCAAGAAGACGTGGAGAGGCTGCTGATTTGTCAGTAGGACTTTCGAATCCCTGTGACTTTTTCTGCTTTCCTTTGCTCAGCCCCACGGCCAGCAAGCCCACTGGTCAGGTGTGCTGGTCACAAGCACAGCGTACAAGTCTGGTGAGCAGAGGACCCACGCAGCTCAGCCTCACTATACTGCAAACTGCAAAGTTCAGTAAAGACCAATAAATCAACACAATTTTTCAATTAAGTTTTTAAACATCTGTAAAAGTTGTTTATATAAAATGAGGGCATCCAGAGTTATTTCAGGGCAGAACTTTTCACACTCGAATGGTCTTGTCCTTAGCTGCCTTATTTCCTAAAGTCGAGCACCAAGGACATCCGATTGTGTCTGCTGTCCCTGCCTGTGAGCATCTAGTGAGTGAGGGTCGCACGTGCAGTTGGTGGTAGAAAGGGTCAGGCAAGAAACCCACCCACCAAAGGCTGCAAGAGAAAAGAGAACATCCGTCAAACTTCCTCAGCTGGCAGAAATGTGTGTGAGATTCTACTGGTGGTTTTTTCAGCAGTGTAGCTTTTGATTCTGTATAATAAATGCTATTGTAAAAAAAAAAGTCTACATAAGCCTAAAATGTGACTAACATAGAAAAAGTTTTTAAAATAGTAAAAAGGTAGCCTCGCAGTGGGGTATGAGGGTTAAACTGGCTGTGCAGCCTCGGGGAAACTGGACAGCAGGCGTCGCTCTTGCTAGAGGAACGGGTTTCTCCTCAGGAAAGGAAATATGTCCCTGTTTATCCACCTATGATCTATGTGACAAGCAACTTTTTTCTAGGTGCGTTCATCAGAAATATTCGCGTTGGAGGCTGGCTGGGCTCAGTGGCTCCGCGCCTGCGTTGCAAGCACAAGATCCTGAGTTCGATCCCCGGTACGGTACCCCCAAAAAAAGAAGAAAAAAGAAAAGAAAAGAAGTATTTGCGTTCCATGAGAAAAAAGAAAAGAAAAGAAATATTTGCGTTCCATGAAAGAAAGAAAGAAAGAAAGAAAGAAAGAAAGAAAGAAAGAAAGAAAGAAAGAAAGAAAGAAAGAAA